AGCCGAGGTTCCATGACTTGGGGCTGGATTTAAGGGGTCATGGTACCCATATCCCCCATTGGTGGCAAGGGCAGTTGGACTGCAAATATATACATATCTTTGTGATAGGATCCCTACCAGCAGTCATGGAACGATGTGTTTCGAACAACCAGATTTACGCAAGAAATAAAGCAACACCAAAGTGGACAATCCCTCTCATCAACCTGAAGAAGTCTAAAAGGCAACATACAAGGTTTGGATTGATGGGATCATGTATGCCATATTCCACCCAAGGTCCAGAACTCATCCGGTCTGGATTTATGAGCAGTCATTTTCACTCCCCAACCAAGTGGGCAAGGAGAATTCCACTTACCCATGGAATTATGGAGAGGATGTGGAACACTGTTCCACCTCGGACCTAAGATGGAACTGCATTGCATTTGGATTTACGAGGAGATAGTGGACTCCCTGCATGAATGACCTAAGACCTGGCAGTGTTCATAAGAGGGCCCAAGCACACTGCCACTGGATAGCTAAGCATCAAATCTGGATCAGTTTTACGAGTAGGCTACCGCATAGGTTGGTCCTGCTCCTACCAAAAAACTTCCAAGGTAGGAGGGTCTCCAACTTCACCCTCTTCTCCAAGAGTGTAGAAAACTCAACACTCTGAAGGAAAATCCTCTGTCCAGCACCCCAGCAGCTGGGAACTGGGTGTGGTAAGGACTCCTTAGCTCCACTAGTAGTAGTAGTAGAGGACACATGTGTGTAGTGGGGAGTCCTGAGGAACAGGTCTCCGGAGACAATGCAACAGATGAACCATGTTCCTTAAGTTTTAAAAGCAAACCGATCTCAACTGATTCAGCTCTAAGATCAGCAGGGACTGGCAAAATCCCCCTTAGCTTTATTCATGATGGTCCACAAGTAGAGGTCCATTGGATTTGTATTGTGAGATAATATTACCATCCAGAATTGCATGTAGATGGTCTTATGGAACACCTCATCTCAACAGAGCCTGTTGCAACTATGAACCAATACAAAGGTTGCTAGTGCAGAATTGAAAAAAATACAAGCACACCTGACTGAGCAACACATGCCAGTGAGTGGGATCCAAAGAAAATACAGAGGGACCCTAGAAGAAAAACGACTGTTAATCAGGTAAGAAAGTTACACACCTCCTTGTTAAAATCTAGCAGAGGTAGTTAACACAGCCATGGAGGGGGGGGGGGGCGAAAAATCCCACAGAAGAGGAAACTGCCAGATCATGAAGGTAATAAGATAGGAAATTGTTGGGAGAAGTCCACATACCAGCCTGCAAAATATCCCCCAGAGAACAGTTAAGATGAGCAGATAATGACATTGATAGATGCCAAATCGGGTGAGAAATGATGTGGAGTATATTTTGATCTACAACAGATAACAAGGCTATAGAAATCAACTCCCGAAGCCTCCTGGTTAATGTAATTGGTGATAAATCTAGGGACACTGCAGGATCCCACTAAATAAAAAGCCGGTGCATAAGGCCCCTGAACAGTTTCGTACAAACCAAAGAACATCTAAGTGCTCTGACTGGACACAAAAGATCTGGGTATGACAGACTGTAAAGATGAGAAATGCCTGGGAAAAGAATAGGAAATAAAAAAATTTATTCCCTTCTCTGGCAGTGAGTGTGTTCAATAGGAAGGATCTGTATGGATAAAGGATAAAATAGGTGGAAGGATAGAGAATGTGCTGAACAGGGATGGCAAATAAATCAGAACAGGAGCATCCAGAAGCTAACAACAATAGAAATATACCTCGAGGGAAAGGTGATACAAAGAACAGAAGGCATAGGTTTGAAGGAATAAAGTGAAAATGCATGAAAAAACAACTCTAAAGTCACAATTAAGGAATTGAAACTGTCTTTTGGGATGAAGAATGTGAGAGGATCATAAAACAAGATAGCACAGGAGTCAAAAACCTTCGTATACATAGATGAGCAAAAAGGAGCAGCAAAGGATGCTGTATATAATGCAAAGTAGAAACCAAACCTTTCAAAAATTCATGTCAAAAAACTGGAAACTATGGAGACTGTTGGATATAGTGGGTTGAAGGCTCACCAAAGACACCACTGACAATATGTAGTCCATTTCCATCGATAGATTGCCATAGTAGGTTTATGGAAGATATAGTCAAATAAACAGAAACTGTAGAAGTTACACCCCTATGGTTAGGCAAAAAACTGCATAACTTCCATGCATGAAGCTGGAATCGTTAAATGTCCAGGTGTTGAATGTTGGACTGAGGTTTTCTCAACAAGGAAGAATGAAGAGGTAGAGGTAAACATTCCTGGAGCAACTTAGAAAGAGGAAACCAAGTCTGAGCAGGCTAAAAAGGTGCTGACAAGAGAACCCAACATGGGGTGAAATTAATCATAGACAAGAGTCTGGGTAAGAGATGAATAGGAGGAAGGGCATACAAACTGAATCCTATCTAGTCTTGACTGAAAGCATCTATTGCCAGAGCTTGTGGATGTGGAACTGGAGACCAGAACTGCAGGCTAGTATTCCAATGGGTTGCAAAGGTGTCTATCATTGGAGAGCCAAACTGAGAACAAATCCATTGAAAGACCACCTGAAGGAACATCCATGCTAGTGGAAGGATCTGATGGGGTCAAGAAAGGTGATCTGCTATCAAAATCATAACCCCTGGCACTAGACAGGCCAAAAGTTGGATGTCATTGAAATGAGCCAAAAAAACATCGAAAGCCCGAAAATCAAGACATCTTGAATGAGAAACTCCCTGACGAGAAAGATATGAAACCATTGTGGAGTAGTCGGAATAAATCATGACCATTTTGTCATGCAGGAGAGGAAGACCTGGAATCATCGCTAGATGTACTGCAAGTAGTTTGAGAATGTTGATATGCAGGGTAGATTCGTAGTCACTCCACATACCCTGGAATGCCTACCCTAAAAGAAAGGCACCCCATCCATGAAGAAATGGATTTCCACATGAGGAAGTGGTATCGAGACCCTAATATTTGTGTTATACCTGTCTAGACACCACTTGAGATCTGCAAATTGTTCAAGCAAAGAGACCACTGAAGGGATCTCATATGGGCCTAATCCAATTGTATGAGGAATTCTAGGAAAGCCCAAATCCCCAAAACAGAGAAGGTGACATAAGCAAATGCCTGACAATCCCTTCCTTAGCATGAAGTTTGAGGGGAGAAGATTAAGCTCAATTCAAAGTGCATTGAAAAACACCACAAGATGGACCATGTATGGAATTGGTGAGAGAATGGATTTTTCCAATCTGATCTGATGTCCGCCCTTCTGGCTTTGAAAGGAGAATCTGTGGATGTACAGTGTAGTGTGGCAACATGACAGATTGGTGCCAAAAAAAAGTCAATCTTCCAAATAGTGATGTGTGCACAGATCAAGAAAATGAAGATGCTGTTCAAAAGCGTATACTACTTGGCAGAAAACATATGGTGCTGAAGCATGTCCAAACGGGAGAGCTTGGAACTGTTACATCTGGACCTCAAGCAAAAAATATAGAAATCGACGAGAAGACTCTGCTATGGAAATGTGAGCATCAAACTTGGTCATCCAAAAATCTGGTGTGAAGTGCCATTGAAGTTGAAGAAAAGATTCCATCGTGAAACAAGGAGGCTGTAGGAAGAGATTGATGATAAGATGCCAATCTCTAGTGTTCTTGGTCACCAAAAAAAGATGAGAATAGAGTCTTGGATGAACGGGATCGACCTTCTGAATGGGTAGACACTGACATCACTGGCGCCATCCCAACCTTCCAAAAACCCAGAGAATACAGACGGAACCAATTCTGTAAACCATACGCAAATGATCAATCCTCCAAAATTAACCGTTGGGGTAGAAGAGAGGCAAGTAGCCAATGATGATAAAGAAAACTGGAAATGTGCTGTATATAATAGGGCTTTGAAAGTTTCAAGGACTCCAGCAAACTAGTAAGGCTGAAAAAACGAAGAGGAGTATCACAATACAGTGGTAAGAGTTAAATGAATCCATGAAAATGGAGATCTGGTAAGAGGAATAACAGGTTCTAACCTGGAACCCCATAGCTCCAACAACAAATCCAACTGTTGAATGTCCAAATATAATACAGCCAGACAATGATAAGCCAGGGCATGTTGTTCTGATAAATGAGGGGAGCAAGGCATAGCAATACTCTCTTGTAATTGCATTGCAAACATCCCAGCATACACGGCAATATCAGGGGAAGGAGGAAAAACAAAGTAATCCCCCAAGATCTATCTGACAACAAGACAGGATAGACTCAAAAGCACAGGGGTGAATCCCCAAAGCTTCATAAACTCGCATAACTAACTGCAGAAAAGAGGCAGAAGGTGGCCGATCAGATGAGCTTTCAGTTGAGGCAGCTCTAGTGAAAGAAGGAGCAGAAAACAGTGTCTAAATTCTCTCCAGTATATTCAGGTTCATGATGAAAAGCCAACTCTGAACCCCCAGGAAAAACCTCTGGGCCGTATGAAGGACTCCAACTCATCCCAAATCAGGTCATGGACAACCTCCACCAAGAGTGGACTCCCTGACCACTGACTACCACCAGACAACAAAGGAGGAATGGACGAGATCTGATTAACCCCATGTGAGAAACCATTACACAGGAATTCATACCCGCATTTTTTTTTTGAAACGCAAAAGAAAACCAATAAAATATCAGCAAATGGGGAAAAAAAACACACCAGACTACTGTCAAAATGCTTCAAAATAAATTTTAACCACAAGACATATCTCCTAGCGCTAGTGCTTTGTCGAGAAAAAGTGATTTTTTTGTTGACATTCAGTGCTTATATACAGTACCTACATAGAGGGCGTGTGAGGGCCAGTGTAAAGTTTTGCAAATTAGATTTTGCCGAGGGCAGTCGAGTGGGGTATAAAGACTGAAGCAAGTGAACACGATGCTTATATGGCAAAGATGAAGACTGAGAAATAGTTATCAGTGTCAGCAGAGGTATGTATGTTTTGGAAAGTAAGTTTATTTCACAAGAAAATAAAATTTCTCTCCTCTAAAACCAATCTATAATGTGTTACCCAAAATACAAGGGTTACATAGATTCAATCACCTATTAGACTGTTTACATAGGATTCAACTAAAATATTTTGTGCAATAGTTATTTTTTCAGTCTTCTAGGTTTTGATCAAATTAAGTCATTTTTAAAAATTTTAAATAAAACAAAGAATATGTAACATCTTACAGCTTCAAATTCTCACAAACATGACAGGGTATTAATGCATTATTAATTTGTAATGTAATCAGAAACTAAAAACAGTTTAAACTGTAAGTAAAAAAAAAGGATGCTAAACAAAATCTCTGGGACTTTCATTGAATAATTCTAAACAATTAGGACCCAAAACATGATTTGTTTTTATAACTGTTTTAAGAAAAACATACACGAGAAGAGTGGTGAATCACAATTCTTATGAAAAAAAGATAACTATGAAAAGTCACCGCTCATCAAAATGTGGTTGAAATGAAATTTTTTGTAAATTTTAAAACCTGTTGAATTGAGTATCTGTAAGTTAAATTATTACTTATTTTTTTTTTTGCTTATTCAATTTAAATCAGATAGAGTATTAGACACACACTATTACTCACCTTGGAGATTCAATACTAACTACTTCTACACTGTCATCATCATCATCTGAAGATAAACAATCAAGCTGTAAGTCAGGAGCCACTGGCCAGTCGTTATCTAAATGCCCAGATCTTTGAATGTTTTCTCTTCTCCTCGACATGTCCTCTCTCATCCTTCTAACTGAAGATTTCCTTGACTTGTCCTCTCTCATCCTTCTTACTGAAGAATCATCTGCATAAATAAATACAGAAAAAATCTGCAAATAAACTTTATTCATAATAATAAAGGATGTAAAATTTAGGAACTGAAGATTCCAGAAATAGGAACCAAATTAGCATTTTTGTGATGGCCAAAAGGAATGTATAAAAATCCCCACCTAAAAGCCAGGCAAAACCAAAGATGATGAATTTTTATTTATTACAGCATTAGAGTGAACTAAATGCAGACAATGAAGCATTATGCATTATAATCTCAAAATAATGAGTAGTTTTCTAAAATTATTCTCCAGTTTTGACTCTGAAGGGAGTACAGTTACCAGAAAACCTGCTGAAGACACCTGTATTTTTGACAAATTAAATTTAAGAAAAAAAGAAATTTAGAAGCCATTTCTTCAGAAAAAAAAAAAAGACTTTTAGGATATCCTTTTTATATTAGGAATTTTAGGGTTCAACTCTTAAGGTCACTCTTAAATAAAATTAAGTTATTCTTTTTTTAATGCATGGTTTTAACTTTTTATTATTAGCATTCCTTTTTCCTTACTTCATTCAATCAATACTTTTTTTTAACTTGAGAAAATAAAAATTAGGATTAATATTTCATCATGGTCACAAGTCTAGAGCCTAAAGCAGATTCTCTCCCTTTTATTTAGTGTAAAATAATAAACAATGACTTGGATCTCTCTATTAAGTAAATTTTTTTTAAATAAAAACCCAATGTAGATAATAAACTATAATATACAACACGGAGAACAATAACATGAAAGGACAATTACTGGATAACTTCAAGTTGTCTTTAGAGTTAAATCCTACTAGATAATTTTCTAAGCATCCAGTGGTTTCAACATCACTAGGGTGACCAGACATCCAAGTTTTGATGGGACAGTCCCATTTTTTGGTAGTTTGTCCCAATAAAAGTTCTTAAAACACACAAAACATCCTGGTTTTATGATAAAGACATCAAACTGTCAGTCACATCAACTCACAAATGTAATAGGCCTACTTGATTTGCTCTTTGTTGTGACACGTACTCTCCTGCCACCAAATTCTCTTGAAAGTTCCATCTGTGCATGGTGAAAACTCAGGTCTATGCTGATTTTTTTAGTTGGCAGTACTGTAGTAGACATACAGTAGTTGGTGAAAGTGTGGTGGATGGTTAAACATCAGGGACTGTTCTCCAAGATATATTTATTATTAAACATTTTTAACCTATCATAGTGTGAAAATGATAAAAAGAAAGTTTTTTTTCAGATACTTTAAAATCAGGCTTCCTTTTTTTTTTAAAGGCAAGCAATTGGGATAAAAAGTTTAGTGCACTATTTACAAAGCTGTGTTTTCAACAGAATAAAGTGGCAGATCGGACATTATGAATTAACTGCCAAGAAAAAAGCACAAGGACTATTATGAAATAGGGACAAGGGCTGGGCTGTCACAGTTTTTTGGTTTGGAAAAACTGGTCACCTTAAACATTACTATAATTCCCCAACACTTTATACTTTTCTTTATTATAAGGATTAATATTTTAAGTTTATACCATGTTTTTTTCGAGTTTTCAGATAATCTCTTAAAGCTAAAATTTTGGTTTTGCTAGATGCAATAGTAAGAAGATACATTCTGTGCCACAGTTTAATTTTCTAACCCTCTTTCCAAACAGCTTTAAAACAGATGATCAGAACACATCTAACATTATCTTATTGAACACATATTGAGTGATTTACATATAAAAATGAACAACAGTGTTTTTAATGCTACAGCAGCCGCTAACACACTAATCTGAAAACCATATTTACCTAGCTAGTAAAGGATTCTTTGATTAGCTTTAGCATGCAGGAATAATGTGTGTTTATTTGAAACATTTCAGTTTGCTGGTTATTTATTTTCTTACTGTAAGACTACACGACTGTAAGTGAATATGCTACAGCTTCTATGTGTATTTAAAAGTACAAAAATACAGTACAGAAAGTAAAACAGTATACATGTGCTTGATCTTATCATATACTTAATTACAAACCTACAGTCTAGAAATGTAATTACAAGTTCTTGATTAACATGTGCTTCATTATAAAACTAGTCTACAAAGTAGACAAACTGACATAAGACAGTTTACTATAGTATCATACCTTTCTTTAACTTACTTAACTTGTAAACACAACACAGACTTGCAAAACTTGTTTGATCCAAACAATCTGTTGTATAATGGCAAGTACATTCCATTTTTTTCTCTTGCCTAATTTCATTGGGAACTTGCCCTACATATCTTCAGTTTTTTAGATGTTGTTGTTGTTGTATTATTATGTCATAATAGTTTAATGGGTGTGAAAACAGTGCTTCTGCCATTGTGAGCTAATACAATCACTGAATAGACTGATTGGAGTCAAAGTATTTGCTACAATCATGCTGAACTGTATTTACTACAATCATACTGAACTCTACGTCTGAAATACTAAAACCTGATAATTACAAATAATTTGATATTGTTCCATGCCAATCAAAACGGATAAAAGAATACATTTAGCTTAGAAGATGATAGTCTGCAATATCTGACAATGTACAAATATAATAACACAAACAAATATAATGGTGTTCTAAATAGTTTATTTCAAAATGTTTTACCAGTATTTTATGTATAATCATATAATAACAATAAACAGGCAAAAATATGGTAATATTTGTTAATTTTTTTCACTTGTCTGGTCAGCTAGGTAAGAGTTTGGGATTACTTTCATTTGAATAACTGTTCATATCAAGCAGTTAAGCAAAAGGAAAGTTTTCTCACCCTTGAAACCTTATCTTTTCTTGAAATGTTAACAAAAACTGTTTTTTTTAATATATTACATCATCTAACATCATGGATCAAACTGAACACAATGACTTATATTTGAAGTTATTTTACATACAACTGTTTCCAACCAGTCTCAGAAAATTAATATCAAAGATGCTACTGTGAATTTTATGTCTATTTGTGTATATTTTAAGAAAACCATATCATCAAAGCTTATTTATATTTTGCATTGTGACTCTTTAAAGACTTGAACTAGCACAGTGAAAATTTGAAAAAAAAAAGTTTCAAACACTTCATTTATATAAAAAAACAGAAATTCAAATACAGTTTCTCAAATATCAGTACATTACCAAGATGTTCAAATATGTACAGGTGATTATTCTATAACTGGAATATTGAATTTCAGCAATCTGATATGCCGTTACTGATAATCACAAAGTTTATACATTCTTTTATCAAAAAAGACAAAAAAAAAAAAATGTGGATCCACTTATCTTAAAAAAATAATGTAGATAAATAGTGTTAAGTGTATTTTAAATTAAAGTCTAAAAATTTGTTTTGAATGGATAGATCCTGTTGCAATACTTTGTGGCTCGATATATCACGAGATAATTTCAAGAAATGTACTATTATGCTTAAAGCTTTGGTGTTGTATATTTAAGCATGTACACTCACTAGTCAAAATCTTAGGAACTCCTACCCAAGGAATAAACTGGTCCTCGCTTTGTCTTTACTATGTAGATATAAACATGTTAGAGAGAGAAAATCGCCATGGATCTTTAAATACAAATTATAAATTGTATGATCACAAATTGTTGCTACAATGGAATAGATTTATCAACTTTGAACAATGTGTTATGGTTGGGGCTTGACTAGAGGATGCTTCAACTGTTGAGGTAAACTGACAAATCAAAGCCCACTGTGACACAAGTCTATGCTACATAGTGATGCTTTAAGGATACCATAAATTAATCACTTTTAAACAATTACTACTTTGACTACTTAATTTTTTTTTCTTTTGTAAATGTGTCATGTTAAGAAACACAAAAGGAAAGTTGAAATATTGTTATGATCAGATTTGTGAGATGCTTTACAGTGTTATTTGATCTTAAGTTCCTGGTAAGCTAGCATTTCTTTGTAAGCATTACGATATTAGAGAAAACGTGTCCAAGACTACAGTTAAAATCAAGGCATTTACTTTCTTGTTTCATTCATAAACATCTTAAATACTTAATACCACACAACAAATGCCATTTTCCAAAAACATTTACCAGTTACATTCTAGGTTTAAAATCATTGAAGACACCAGTAATCTACATGTAAGGCTGAACTCCTATGAAACAAAAATTTCTTGGAGAGGATAATCTTAAAGTTCAAGTATCAAAACTAAAAATAAAAAAAATCATGCTACTTATATCATTTGACTCACACTCCATTATGAAGAGAAAGACAATAATATTAAAAGTACTAAAAGACTGGGAAAAAAAGCAATAGTCAAAATTTATGCCAAGATTATAGTTTTACAGATATACATGTTTAAAATGATCATATGTGTGCTAATTTTGCTCTGAAAAAAATACAGCTGACATTATGGGTATTAATTGTTCCTAAAAATTATTTTTCATTCCTAAGTTTTTGTTGAACTTCATTTAGCAGTGGTTATGTAAATCATGCATAATTATAAATAGTACATGTGGTAAAATAGAAAAGAGGAATTTTTTTTTCATTCACATTTGGTTGGACTTTGACACTTTGTCAGACATAAAAAGACTGTTTAGTGTACAAAATGTTATTAATTAATCAATTTTGTGTTTGTAATTCAATGATGTCAAGGCTATCAAATATTGTGTTTGCAATCCATTGATGTCAATGCTATGGAGATTTGTAGAAGGCCTAAGTGATAGATGTATAAACACTGCAAGCAGACAAGCTGAAAAGAAAAGTCACGTGAAAGAGAAGTTCGGTCAGAGATAAGTTAGAAAACATAAAGTTAACAATCACGTGAGTGAATGGCTCAACGGTTGATATGTTAGAGTGAGATTAACAGTTTGAAAAAGATAAGGAGAATAATCTGTCTTGTCAAAGGGTGTTCTAAGTTAATTGAACCCATCTGTGTAGACTTTGAAAAAAGCAGATGATTATTGGAAGTATAAAGAGCAGATAATTATTGGAAGTTCAGGATACAACTGTGGTAACTCACATGACAGCTTAAGTGAATTATACACCAATACTATTGTGATAAAAATAGAGAAAAATAGTTTGGCTTGTTAACTGAATTCCAAAGCAATTGAATTAGCCAAAGTGGACTTTTGACAAGAAGAAAACTGTGTAGTGTTTAAGATACAGCTACATAGTGTAAAGAATTATTGTACATACGTTTAACCTATTCCGAATATTATATATATATATATATATACACATTACTTTGAACACAAGTAGAGTGCATGCTGTTCATTTATTGTCCAATTTACCACCAACAAGTCACAGACACCTACTGTAGAAGAATCTTTAGCCCAACATACCCATATATTTACATTACTACATATACTACTAAAAAGTAAGTTTCTGACACACTTGTGCTTGCTATTCATGTCCTTCTTCAGTTCAGTGTTGCTGTCAGCTATAGTGATGTTACAATGCAGGATCCTGTATGTCAGACCAAAGTACCAACAACTTTGACAAATCCGTACAAGGATACCAAGTTAGTGACAATGATGGTCTGGTGATACAGAAACAGTCAGTCTGACTGAACCAACCTACTGTAGTGTGCTACAGGTTCTGTGTCTTGCACTTCTTGTATTGTACTTTATTCACTATAGATACTTGATTTGAAGGAGGATAATTTGAAAATTACAATGAATATTCTTTAGATTCAAAATTTGAAAGTTTAAGGTCCTACAACTGTATCAAAGTAATTATGTAGTATAAACTTATCATCAGGATGACCATATAACAGAATCTATAAACCTACACAACTGAAGAGTTAAAAACTGAGGGTATAAAACAGAATGAATTCCCAATTGTGGTACAATTCATATATTAATTGTGTAAAAAAAAATTCAATACTTAAGAATATATATTGCTAGATTTGAAATTGATTATGCTAGTTGTAATGTGTTAAAAATTTTCATTTTTTGAATGTGTAAGATTAAAGTTTTGTGATACAATAATTTGGTTAACCATAAAAGCTGCTTTGCCACTGATGACTCTTTTATATTAAATGATTGTAGAACAAACAAATCTCTAATCTTTGTTTTTACATCAAGGATACAAGTTGTATGAAAGAAACTACAATTATGAATAATATTAATTATACATACATATGTGAGATCAGGAGTTGACATGTTAAAAAAAGCAATATAAATATACTCTTACTTACCAGTGTTGCTGGTCCAGAAAGCTGTGTTCAATGAATGAAGCCTTTCTCTTGCCCCAGTGTAGCTGTGATCATGGTACTGAGCTCCTGCTACTTTAATGCTGCAGTTTGAAGGCCTAGTGTTCCTTAAAACAGAAGTGCGAAGACTTACTATATCAATATCACTGTCACTTTCAGAAGAAGTATCCATTATTACTTCTGGTGTTTCAGATACTGGGTGGTCCTCAACATTTGAATTAGAACTTCTTGCAAAGTTTTCTAAATCTTGAACAGAGCACAAACTTGAACTTTGTACTTCAATCTCAGAGTAGCCTGAAGTACTGCTAGCTCCATCATAAATAAAATTATTAGTACTAAGTGCAGCTGAATGATTTCTATTTTCAATTGAACTTATTGGTGGTTGTAGAGCTTTTCGTGGTCGTTCTTTATTTTCATCATTCTCTCCTTCACTAAGTACTCTTTTTCGCTGCCGATTGTCATAGGTTTCAAAATTTTCTGGGTCTGCCAGTAACGTTGTAGTGTCACACCATTCTCCATCTACATGTGAACTAACACTTACTAATGATCCTTCCACAAATTCCTGTTTCACTCTTTCAGAAGGCAACAAATGTTTAGCACCACTGCAGTCTCTGGCTTTTGGACCTCTAAATGGGTATATGGAATGGGAAAAGTCATGTCCTGAGCTACTTGAAGTTGATTCATCAGATCCCCATGATGCTAAAAGGGAGTCTGTAGAGCCTCTACTGGCCATTATTACAGAACCTTGTGCTTGGTGTGTAAGATCATTTAGGGGAACCACATCATTATTAACTTCTACAGAAGAGAAGAGGGAAGAAGAACGGGAATATTCCATTGCATCCAGGAAACTGAAACAAAGAGTAATAATTCTGTTATAAAAAACAAATTACTTCCTACAACAAATTCCTAGTGGCTAAGTTTGAATCACTTGCACCCTTTTTGTCTTTACAAGTTAACAAAGAAAACTAAAACTATGTTTTTCATAAATAAAATTTAACTTCTCTAAAATAGCAAATAACATTATTCTTCAATGCATCATGTTAATCAAAACTAAGTTTCTTTGTTAAAAGTAATATAATTTATGTACTACATATGGAAAGCTCAAGTCTAAAATAATAAATGTTTCAACCCTGTCAGTAGTTGAAAATGGTTGAGCATTTTTTTATCCCCACAAAATGTATACAACTAAACATATTCCATTTATATTTGAAATGTGTTTTCCATTACATTTCTTCTATCAGTTTTCATAGATGTTTATATACTACAACTGATCATCAATTCAAATCAAACTTGGTGTAAAAGAACCATGTTCAAACACAGGGTTAATCTAAAAACATGCAAGTCAGTCATCTAATATTTCTAACAAAAACATGACAAAAAACTTAATAATAATATAATAGTTATAATATTTGATTATTTTTAAAAATTTATATAAATTTTTCTAAGCCCACCATAGACAAAACTAGACTTCTGTTATCATGAACGAAAGCAAGGAATTTATGCCTATCAAACTGTATTTCATTGCTGGTTCAGGAAGTGGAATCTACTCTAAAGAGTAAACACAGTAACAGGAAGGGCTTTTCTTGTCTCAACAAGTTCACTGATGATGCTTTTGCTTTTTTTATTTTTGAATGAGATACTCCTGTTCTAACTTTAAAAAAAATAAATAAAAAATAGGCTGTTTTCATATTATTCAAAAAATAAAAAGTTTGCTTGATTGTTGATAAATGAGATTGATTAAAAATCAGCAGTTTTATGACTAGATATATAATAAATGAAAATTTTTTCAAAGACATACTTTAAAACTTTGTTGTTTTGCTATCAATTTAAATAATAATGATATCAACTTCAGTAACACATTAGCTAAATTTGCTGATAACACTCAAGCAGCTGAGAGAAACTGATACCGAAAAGACTGTTTTGATTCAAAAGGACCTCAACAAGTTCAATAAGTGGCTGAGTTGTGTGGAAAATTTGCTTCAACATTTAGCAGTATAAATCATGCATTCAAGATATAAAAATCTGTGCCTGACTTTTATGTTGTGAGAGAACGATGCTAATGGGGAGGAGAAGTTAAAATTTTGACTCAAATGAGTCATAAGTGAAATTCTACTTTATGCTTAATTTTTGGCCACAAACAATTATTAATAAATAAATACCATAAACCACTATAAATTCAGAATTTTACTCCACTGAAGTGCACACAAAATCCCTTTAACTTGATCAAGTCATCATGTGTACTAATAGAACACATTCCTGTTAGCAATAGCTTATTACGAAGACTGATATGAAAATGTTATAAATGTAGTTATGTAATATCAATTTGCTTTTGTAGGTATTAACACACTTCTTGAGTCAGCTACTAAACTTACCTTTTACTGAATTATTTTTGCAGAAACTATACAGTGAAAAGCTTGCTTTCCTGTTGCCTTCAATATAATTTCCTTTTTCCAACACATCCTCCTTAACCATAGTAGTAAATCTCAAAATAAGTTTCAAATATTTTATGTTATCGTGATGATGCAATGTAGCTGTTACTATTGTCTCCAGTGTATGCTGATAAAACAAGTGAGATACTTAGAAGTATACTACATTCTTCTTATAACATGTTTATGGCATAATGTAATACAAATACACATGCATTAATAACTTTTCACAGGATTCTGCTGAAGTGTCTTCATTCAAACTACATTGTTAATTACATAAAGGAACAATAAAAATCATATCATGAACAACCTACATTTAATAAGTTTATTTCTGTTCTATTCCAAAATAATGAGAAATAAGTTACAGTGAGAAAACAAACTGGAATAAAATAAAGTCAATTAACCTCAATCCTTATTATTTGAATTTTTTTATCTTTTTTGTTCAATTTTGTGTATATACATATATATAATGGTGTGCATCTCATTTCACCATATTTTTTATCCTATTTTATAGTAAATATTACCATTACCACTCAAGTATAGGTTACTTAAAGAGTAATTTACAATTATATAATCTACATTACATTATTATTAGAGTGATCAGGTTCCAGAACCATAAATTCAGACAATTTCAGTCACAGAAGGAGAGCATGAGGGGTTTAAAACACTGAAAGGACTTTTTCATGAAATCATTACAAACTGTATGGGAAATAGTAATAATAAATGCATAAAATATTAACCAAAGAAAACTATTTTTATTGCTAAGTATATTAAAATGCACTTATAATCAAATGTTTCCTGTACTAAATTACTATGAACACCAAAAACTTATTCACCAGCTACTGAATGTACAAAATGTGTCAAAATAATAAGGAAATGCTGCAATCATCAGCTGACCTCTAAAGTTAAATTGTTTAGCCAATGATTATACTTAAAATGCAACAGTTTAAAGACTTAAAAACAATACTAATCCATGTCATTATTTACTGGACAGACAGGGCATCTCAAATACAACTAAATAAAGTGCTTATAAGATATAACTTATAAGTCCCAACAGCATTTGTTCTGCTCTGCCTCTGAGTCACTGTGACGGAAAGCTAGAATTAGAAATCAGAACGTTTGGTCACCTTACATATGATTCATGTATGAACAATATTACTACTTGACATTACCATTATTCTAAAAAACTACTGACTGAAAATTAAATATTTAAAAAACAATTATTATGACTTACGGATCGTACATAAAATAACATATATTATTATAATGTATAACACAGCGTATGCTTAATCATTGAATGAATGATGTTTCGTTGGAATTTGAGTTACATATTTTTGTCATAGTTTGCATCACGATTTTGTCAAATCTTGCGTGAAATGGTAAATCCTAAATTAGTAAATAGTCAGAAATTTCATTATATTCTAGATTCATAACTTACAAATTTAAAATTACAATATTTGAGGAGTAGTGTAAACAAATTCAAAATCAGGTGATGAAGACATGCTACTTTAATTAAATTAAGTTTAATCTGAATTTTCATTTCTAATTTTTATTCAGTAGACACAATTTTGTAAAATATCATTTTAAAAAATTTAGTAGATGAACTCACCAGGTTAAAAAAATATAAAAAAAAACTATTCTATTTGAAAACAACAACAACGAAAAAAAACGATATCAGAACAAAAACTTCTTCCACCCTTCCGCCATGTTGCAACGAAACCCACATCTCTTCTCTCACGACGTCACAAATACTACTAATCTTATTTTCTATGTTGCCGGTTTTTTCAACCAGGTTTGGAGCTTATTGTTATAACCATAGTAACTGTAACTATATCTAAGGTTATAGTAAACATTTGCTCTTTGCATTAAAAATATAAAGCTATACTTGTGAATTTAAAATTACTTAAATATTTATATTTAAACTACTTTTCTTGAAATAGAAATGAAGAAGAACAACATTTGGATTTTTTATTAAACTTAATATAGATCAGCATTGCTGCATAGAGAAAATTTGAAGTTTTGTTATATTTGGCTTAGCGCGACTAATGGTTAGCATGCCGGACTGTGGAGCTGTTCCATGGCTCGTGTCCCGTTACCAGCAAAAATAAATAAAAATTAATCACTGTACTTTGAAACTGTGAGTGCGTTACAAAAGTGGTGTTCAAATCATTCGAATTACCATTTGTCACTGAGTTATACTGGTTCGGGGTGAATATCACTTCTCGTCAGGTACCTTGGACAAGGACAAATCGAAAGAACAAGTTTATACCTCTTACAGCAAATGATAAAACCCTATAACCCGAACGGAAAAACACGTAGGTTCTAGAAGTCTTGATACCAAATGATAAAAACCCTATAATCCAACGAAAATGTATCACCACGTAAGGTAAGAACATGAAACTATACTTCTTATAGCGGTGGAGGGAATATTAAATGCATTGATTTTAACATGTCTTTTACTCACACAGGTGATCTTGTATTTATATAGGAATTTCCGGCTATTTTCTTTAACTTTTTTTCTTTTTTAGTATAGCTTTTCGGGTGAATAATTCATAAAAATGAATAAGTAGCCTCAATGCCGCATAGAAATTGTACATAAATTTTGGATCATTCTGTGAGTAACAAACATCTCAAACACCATATATAAACTATTCTGTCGTTTTAATGTGGATGTATTAAAGTGAAAAAGGAAGTTATAGTTGGTTTTGTAATTCCATCTCACAAAAAGTTTTTAAAGAGCTGGAAGGATTGTGGGTTCATAAAACCATATATTTTAACGCGTTACCTCAGTATGTGTCCTTCGGGTGAGGGGGAGGGAGTAAGTTGATGGTCTTATATCACTAAAATCTGGGGCAGCTCATTTCCCATGGTGTCTTATATCACTAAAATGTGGGGCTCATTTCCCATGGTGGACATAATACATATAGCCATTGTGTATCTTTTCACTAAGAATACAACAATATCAGTTTGTAAGTTTCTTTTTATATTAATTATTCTGCTGTGAGCTTAGCAGTAAAGAAGGTCGCTTCTGAAGAGCATGTGAAAACGAATTGTTGAGTGGACATTATTATTTCCTGAAATCTGTTGCTTAATTAAATCAAAGCCAGCCGTTTTCTTGTATGAGGTGTAGGAAAAATCACTTCATATGAAAACTTAATAAGGAACGTATGAAATTGTATATTTGACTTTTGTTTAAGTTTTTTCCCTTTGCGTTAAATCTGTTGTTTTAAACTGTTTTAATTTAAACATTACTATTTTGTAAATATTTTCATGTGACATGCTTTAACAATTATGCGATTCTGTAAATATGTTTTTATTATTATTCTTTATAATTCTGTGTTTATTTGTTTATAATTAAGCACAAAGCTACACAATGAGCTATTTGTACTATCATTCTGTGTTACCAGGTGTCTTGTTGTAGTGTGAGATTATATTCGTAATCTTAAAAATGAGTGAAATGACACCAATTAATTTAATCTTACTAAAAATATTTCCTGCTTTGGGTATTCACGATTCAGACAATTAGAAAAATACCTACGGTATATACAACAACCATTTCTTTATCACAGAACACAATTTTAAATAAAATTACTCTCCTCGCAACAAGAACACGACTTTCACTAGGACTGTACGTGAGGGTTTGATTATATATTCATTAATCACTTCCCATAAAATCCTTTTGTAGAAAATGTTAACTTTTTTCTAATTTTTATTTCAATGAGGTATGAATAGTACAATTAGTAATTACGAAGACAAACAGCCGCCCGTAGGGTGGCGTTTCTGATAATAAAAATATTATCTTCTATACTATTATTCTGCTTGTTTGTATGTACGACTGTTATGCTTTCTGACCGAGAACCTGCTGCATAAGCATGCGTTGTTAGAATGTTTCCCCAAGAAAACCGCGCATGCGCATTATTGACTCGACGACAAACAGTCTGCCTGCGGCAGAGAGCTGCAAAGCTTAGTAATGAAGTCATTACAATTGCTGTATGAAACAAGAAGTAACAACAAAAGGGAATGTAAATATATTTTACTAACCATTTTGTACAACAGAATATTAAAAACTTATCAAAGTTTTAAAAAAGGTTTGACATTAGGTCTTAGAATAACATTATAAGTTTATTTATCGATAGTATTAAGTACAGTAAAGTTTAGTCCTAACTAACCAAAAAAGTATAAAAAAACGTACACAGGTTACAGTGTTAATTTATCTCTTTATCGAACTTAGGCCTAACATAAGTTAAAGTTTTATAAGGTACGCCCTATATACAAGTGGATTTACACATTTCGTTGTCTACGATTACAGTTCGTTTGTATTGTGATAGAAATGTTATATTTAAAGAAGTATTGTTTCGATAAAGATACTAATTTGCCGCAAATGTTTTGTGGGTCTCTGCTAGTTTTAAGAAATGAGATTCTGTGATTAAGAAGTTACGAAAGCGACTTAACGCTTCACAAGTGTTGTACGTGTACGTATCCTTCATTTACGGTTTGCGTTGATTTTTCGGTATTCCTTGTACTATGTGTTACTTTTAGCAATAAATCACTTGAAACCTGATGAAAGTTGAAATTTATTCGTTCTGTTATTTCACTGCTTCTTTTCAAGAATGCATGGTGCGCCCTCTCATAATGTTGAAATTAGGATAATATTATAAACAGTTGCTATTTATGACATAGTTACACTACCAGGAATATTACACTGTAAATAGAGCCAAAGAATTAGATTCTGGATGTACTTTCTTAAATATTTGTAATTGTATCATGTAAGTAACAGAGATTAATAAAAACCCAGATTTTGAAATCAGTTATAATATTTTTATTTATTATGCTTAACTATTACATATTCCTTTGAAATTGAAAATTAATGAATAATATCCAGACATTAAGGGACCATTTAGTCCTTCATGGCTGACCTTACACACCAGCCCTTGATATAAGTCAAATTAAAACCGACCCTTTATTTTTTTTAAAGAAAATGTTTTATTTTTAACCCCACACTTGTGAAGTGTTAACCTTTACTACTGCTGATACCAACTTATTTCATAAGCCAACCACCCTATTAGTATTAGTGTAGTTAAATACAACTGCCCTAGTTGAAGTCTAGCCTGTTTTTTCCAAATGTTAAACTTGTATCTTCTCCACCTGTTGCCTTTAGAATACAGCACAGATAAGAAGCTATTATCCTATCAATCCTGGTATAATTTTCAGTAAAATTATATCTTCCTCATCTGTTCATGGTATTATCATAGTTGAATGATAATTCTCTTCTATAACCAAACTGTACTCAGTATTACAAGTGGAGCTAACTAGCATTTCTTGTAGTGAGGGGTAGTTGCATCATTTGGATTGTAACCAATATGTCTAGAATAGTATAAATACACCCTAAAACTCTATTAACTTTACTACTAGCAACAGAGCACTGCTTTGATGGCTTGAATGACTCATCCACTACTCTGCCAAGACATGTTTCTTCAGTCACACTATTAAGTGGGTTACTTGTAGTGATGTAATTAAAAGTCATTTGCCAAATATTTGTCTAAATTACCATTTGATCCAAAACATTCTGTATTATCACAATACAGCTAGAGATACCCAAGAGTTAATGTCATTAAAAAACTTTACTAGTGTACTAATTATGTCCCTATAAATGTTATTAGTGTAAATAAGAGAAAGCAAGTGCCAAGCATTGACCCATAAGGTGTGCCAGTAGTAACAAAGGCTCAGTTTAGTTTTATCTCCATTAATAACTCATTCTTTCTCTCACCCAGCTACCTTACAAACCAATATATAAGATGCAAAAAGAAAGGTTTTATTTAGCTTGAACTAGTCTTATTTTGTTGATCAGGTCAGAGAGTGAAGGGATGACCAGAATGGTCTAAATGAATCTTTATCATCTAACAAAAGGAAAAATTAATTTTCAAATGTTTCAAAGTGTTCTTCACATGCAAATTTGGCTTGTAAGTGTAAAGTGAAGGGATAATTGAAGTAAGTACAAGGTAATGCATTTGAGTCATTGTAATTTGGATCACACATTTAATGTAAGGTGAGAACTCAGTAGTACAACTGAAGAAAGACATCTGGACATAGTGGTGGATAAGTCACTCAAGGCAGTGCTATGTTGCTAGTTGTAAAGTTAATAGAATTTTAGGGTGTATATTTACAGACATATTGATTACAAGTGAGAAAATGTGATCATCTGTACATAAATTAGTATGTAAGTTTCACTTGGAATACTGTGTGCAGTTTGGTCTTTTCATCTAAGGAAATATATCGACTTATTGGAAAACATTTAGAGGGGGGCTACTAGAATGATTCGAAGGATGGGAGTCCTATCTTGAAGGTAGTGTAAGGTAAGAACTATTTAAATTATTTTATCTTGAGAAAAGAAGGGTACAAGATTATTTCATTTAAGTTTAGAAGATTATTAGTGGGATTGATATAATAAAGACATTTGATAGCTTTGTTCCATATTTGGAAGATAATGGGATGAGAGGACACAAGTTTAAGATTTCAAAAAGACATTCAGTTAAGACAGTTTTATTTTTCTGATGGGATGAGTTGCCATTAGAAGTAGTGGAGGCCAGAACTTTACAGGAATGTATGAGGGGGGGTTGATAATTTCCTGAAAAATAAAGGGTATGTTTAAATTTTTACTTCTTTCAAAGATGGTTATGCCAGGAGAGCCTTGAAAGAACCAAGTGGTCCCTTTTTTGTCTACGTGTTATGTTTTATTGATAATATATATTTGATGTTAAAAATGTATTTTAATAAGTTATATTCTTTCAAATGTAAATAAAAATTAAATAAAAGTAGCTACATGTATCTGTTTTTGGGCTGTTTATTTCAGAGATATAAAACAAATCTATGTAATTCTCTCTTTAGATTTAGAGAAATTTGAATCATTACATATGCACACATGAAGAAACAACATGGGATGTAAAAAAACTGTATTTGTTACAGTTGGTACAACTTCCTTTGACCAGCTAGTCGAGACAGTTATTACTCCAGAAGTCTTGCAGGTAAGTTCTAGTTAGTTACACTTTAAAGTCTTCTTCTGAATGTTTAACTATGATATAATCAATCATTATTCTTTGTATGAGAATTGGAGTGCTGTGTGCATATTTTGGTCCATTTACTGTAGGGAGGACATTAACATGTTAGGATGAATGCAGAGACAGGCTACGAGAATAATACCCACAACTAGTATAAAAATGTATCATGTGAAGAGAGACCTTTTTTAGTCTTGTTTTCTTGAAAGTGCAAGCAAATTAGAGGTCACTTTATTCAAGTACTCAAAACTTCTAGAAGTTAGGACAATCTTCCTTTGGGTGGTTTGTTTAATTAAATGATGGAATGAAAAGGTTAGAAATACAAACTTGAAAATTAGGGGTAATAGGTTTACATTTTAAGGCTTAATTACAGACTTATTCTTGACAAAATTATTTTCTGGTAGTTTTATGAGTGTGTGGAATGGTTTGCTTACTACCATGGTGTATGTTTGTTGTAGTTTTAACTCTTTTTTTTTTTCAATCTGTGTTCTGTTGTTATATAGACATGAAAAGTTACATTTAACTTGGTTTTGTTCTTTTGGTGGATAAGGGGTGACTTCGATTGATTTAATGGATGTTTTGTCTTATCTTTTGTTGTTGTGTTTTCTAGTTTAATGATAGAAAATCAGCGATTGTTTATAACTGTTTAAAGTATGTTTTAGTATTGAAAGACTTGTGTTTCTTCAAATTACTGATGTGGAAATTGAGAGTGCACAAATTTTATAGTATTTAAAAGTTATGAGAACTGTTTAGCCTAACAAATTAATTTGGCATACTAATGATGCTGAGTATGACTAAAACTGTGGAAAGGCTTGTTAATACAAGACTTTTTGCTGTGTTACAGAAATACTGATGTTTTGGTAGAACAGAAGTTTTGAAGTGTGAAAGTTTGTGGAAATTTGTAATAGTTTGTTTTGTATTTGAATGTAATTAAAAATGACAAATACTTTGCTGTTTTCTATATATATAAATTTTGAATTTAAAAAACGACTGTGGGCTGCAGAGAGTTGTTTGTAAATTGACGACTTTAAATTATTTTAAATAGTGATGACTTCTCATGTGCTTTCAATAATGCTGGTTTTAGAAAAAAGTTAAAAAGAGAATTTACCTGAAATCTGACTTTTAAAATTGTAAGGTTAATTTGGTTTTGCTCTTTGCTGTTTTCCATAGTTTTTCAACTCTGCCCATTCATGTTTAAAAATATTCCTCTGCCAACTCCACAAATACAATATAGAGCAATGGTTCCCAACCTTTTTATGTGGTGTACCCCCAATCAGACCTATGATCCAGTGGCATATCACTAATGTATATAACTTGTTACAAAAAATGCATTGTTGAAAAATGTTGGTAAGTCACCAAGGCTGCCCTCCAATTCTGAGGCATGGAGTTTATTTTTACTCTAATATTTGTCATAGGTTCTACCATACACCCCAGCTTTGTCTTCATGTACCTTGGGGGGTTTACATATCACAGGTTGAGAACCACTGGTATGGAAAGAACTACAAATCTAATTACCCTTTCATTATGTTAACATTGTTAATTACTTACAATTTGGAGTACATCTCAAAATCACAAAGCACAAATTATGACCAATATAAACTTTGCTGCAAGAGTTGGAGGGTTGCAAAATCAACCTTAAGTCTATTGTATACTCATGCTGTCACTACTTGCCAGAATATTATAATTTCCCTGAAAAGGGGACAAAAGCTGCCTGGAAGAGTCATTTATTTTAACCACATGCACCATATACAGTAGTTGGTTGTCTGTCAGTCAATCAGCAGACACTAAAGTAACATCACATAAAGGATGCTTAATGTTGCAATTTGTACTGTTGTGACATCAGTAAAACGTGCGCATGCCATGAATCACAAGAAGAATTATGCACTCTGTAGGCTACAATACAGTGTGACATATGAGCTTCAAAAGGAAGAAATAAAAGTAATTGTTACTCTTAATTTACATCTTTTAATTAATTGAAAAGTTTGAGATTCATGAGGTTAGTTGATGACTAATGGGATAAATGATGCTCAAGTACATGTTTGTTGATATATTTTTGAACAGCATACATGGAAATCAGAAATTTGTAATTTTATGTTCAGAATTATAAAGAATATTGTACAATATAAAACTATCTGACAACTGCTGTTACAGTAAAAAAAAATTATGCCTCCTTGTATTTGGAATTAGAAAATAACTCCTTTGTGTAGAAATAAAATAAACATAAATATTAATATTTGAGAATATTGCTTTACAAACCTTTGATGAAAAAAATTAAATGAGAATCCTTAAATTATATTTCTTTATGAATGAATAATATTGAATTGTGTCTTTCAGATTCTTTCAGGAAGAGGATATGAAAAGATTTTAATTCAGATAGGAAAGGGTGACTTTCAACCTGTTCAAGATGACACACATGTAGAGCAAATTATTGAGTATTATAGGTACAAGGAATCAATTGAAAGTGACATTCGAGAAGCTTCTTTGGTTATAAGTCATGCAGGTGAGAATACTTAAAACTTGTATTATACCAGACATTGATGTTTGATGTGCTTTTTTGGTGATATAAGAGCCTTAACATTTTTTTGCCTAAAGTACTGAAAATGCTATGAAAATGAAGTAATTGTAAATTCTATAATAGAAGAGAATAGTATGTACAGCTACATTGCATTAAAAAAAGAAATCTGATAAAACCCTACTTGTTAAGAGCTTAGATTATACAGTACTAATTATTAAGCTTTTTATTCATCAGTGGTGCATGACTTTGATTATATCAAAGTGTTAGTTTGTTTCAAAAAAATTACTTTCTTTTAGTTTGTTTAAAACTTTGTTTTTCATGTGTTATCTTCTTTTCAGTTCAAATATTTTTTATTCTCCATACATAACTTCATTCACTGTAAATAGTCCCCTGGTGGTACAGTGGTAAGTCTTTGGATTTACAATGCTAAAATCAGGGGTTTGATTCCCCCTCGGTGGACATAGCAGATAGCCAGATGTGCCTTTGCTATAACAAAAACACACACTGTAAATAGCACAATAATTATCAATAATAACAGGAAGACATTACAGTGACAGTATTTTATTTTTAAAGCATGTTAATAAGTCTTAAATAGAATTTCAAGATTATACTTAGATCATTTTTTGGAAAATTATTTTTATTCTCATGGAAATTGTGTAATATAAGTTTACAAAATACTTGGGAGCAATGATTTTTTTTTTTCTTTTGCTGTAATAGTGTGATAGTGGTATTAACCCATCATTTATGCTGTTTTTGAAGTTCAAGAATTATAAATAATTCCCCAAAAAATGGATAAAGTGACCACATTCTCCACAAAAAAAGAAAGAAGTCTGAACCTTAATATTCCTGGGAATTGATGGTATAAAAATTTAGGACTAACAACTTATAATTTAGCAAAATTTTAAAGTATGTTCGTAAGTAAACTATTTCTGTCAATATTTTGATTAATATTTGAATATATGACATTTTGCACAAAAAGAAGTTATGTAAGTAATTCTATTTCATGAAATAGAGAATTAATATGGGTAGGTCTGAATTTAACTCCAAACTTACTGATACAATAACAAATACAGGTAGTGTAATTTTGTGGTGATTTTTAGGTGTAGTAAGTGTATTTAGGCATTTACATATGTATACACATGCATACATTTCTTTATTCCAAAGATATTTCTGGTATCTTTAGGAGCTGGGAGTGTGCTAGAGACCTTGAGAGCCAGAAAGCCTCTGATTGTGGTAATTAATGAAAATTTGATGGGAAATCACCAGATGGAGCTAGCATATCAGTTATTTCAAGATGGACATTTGTATTACTGCAAATGTGGGTAAGTACAGAGGCAATGTAATTTTGGCCCTGCAAAAAAATTCATAGTTATAAGATTTAGTGATACTGCAACTAGAGTTTCATTTAGAAAAGTAATTGTAACATATTGATCAGATTTTAATTGAACTTGAATCTTTTAAAACGTTCTCTGTGTGTATGGCAGGTTAGAGAAGAGCAAAAATGTGTAGAAAACAAGAAAACTGAAGTACACATTAACAAATCAAAACCCAATTCAACCTATGAAAAAACTGATACAGTCGAGAATTGGCTAAGTTCCCCTTTTTGAATCATTATTAACCTTCTGTTTTATATAATATCTGCCTGCTTTGGTTGGACAGTATTATGATTATTTCAATACCAACTTCAAAGATCTCTGATAATTTTTGATATTTTCAATTGTTAGAGTTCCTTCAACAAACACCATTAATGATTCACATATTCGTTATATTATCTCATTGTAGTGTAAGTGTCAGAATACACATACAAACACAAATAGATATCTATGCAGTTTTAGATCTAGAATAAAAATAAATTTTTAATCAATGAGTTTGCAAATTTTGATGAGAAAAAAGCTGAGTATAAAATTTCTACAGATATTTTCAAGTAATGATTTTATGAAATCAATCAACATATTTTAATAATATAGTATTTAAAATACGACATATTAAGCAAATGGCTCATTTTATACATAAAGAATATACTCGTTCTTTCTATAACTTTTGTGTTTACGTGTAGATACTTCTTAATTTGTATTTTAAAGAAAAAGTATGTTATGTAAAATGCTTATTCATAGAAAGTGTTATTGTTTAACTTGTATTTCAAACTGTTTTGTGTAGCTCTGCTAATATCAAGGTATGTATGATAACTGTTAAACTTTTAAATATACTAACACTAATGTTGTTTTGATCAACCTCCATTTGTACTAACTGCTCGGGAAAATTACTTTTATCATAATGTTTTCTAGGTATGGTGACATTAAGAACATGTGATATAAAATAACTGTGGATTCTTGGGTGATTTTAAAAGTTTATAATTGCTGTGGTTTGAGTGAATGTGTGAGTCTGCTGCAGTGATTTTATTATATAATTTTTATTATTGTATTAAAATTATTTTATTTTATTTTTCCCTCCTAGACATCTTTAAAAGGTTTTAATTCAGTTACATAAAAGTTGTTATTGGAAGTAGCCAAACTTATTGGTGCTAAGTTACTGTGTAATGTGAAGTTATGATTAAATGTTAGAAGCTCAAATGTAAAAGAAAAAAAATGTTTTCAAATTATACGTGCAGGCCTTACAACTTTATAACACTGTATATTCGTAACTGATGATAATTTATTTGCTAAAGAGCTGCTGCTACTACTAATTTCCGAACAATAACATTTTTTGATTTAGTACGCTGAATTAAACTGTTTTTGTTTATAAAATAAGTCCTGATATGTACAAGAGTAGTGTAACTGTGTCCTGCTGCTACTTCCCATTACTGTAACAAGACCTAATGAACTTTGTTCACCTAAGGAGTATTATGCCTATCAGAAAAATAAGTATAGGGAATTGCAAAGTACTTAACCTCTTTCTAAGTCAATGAAACAATATTAAAATTTGTTGTTTTATGATGAAACCATTTCTTCTTTTTTTATTATCTACACAGAAAACTTTGTTTACCATTAGTTTTAGTTCATAGGTCAGATGCTTATATCTGTCACACCGAGCAGGCTCACCCTTTCAGCTGTGGGGGCACTATATTGTGATGGTCAATCCCACTATTCATTGGTAAAAGAGTAGCCCAAGAGTTGGCAGTGGGTGATGTTGACTAGCTACCTTTCTTCTAGTCTATCACTGCTAAATTAGGGATGGATAGTGCAGATAGCTCTCGTGTAGCTTTGCATGAAATTCCAAACAAACAAAACCTGATACTGATATTATATGGATAAGAAAGGTAATAGAAAGTCATCTGGCTGAATGAGGTTACTGCTGTATTCTTTAAGTATTAAATCAAAAGCTAAGTGTAACTTCTTCAAACTCATATATTTAGTTAATTATTTCTAGCAATTTAAAACTAACATCATACAACATACCAAACTGATAATTTTTTAAAACTTACCAACTCTACTTTTAAGTATAAAGATGGTTATAAAACATAATTAATTTACTTATTTTGTTTTTAAATAAATGCAGGGAAATTGGCTAAATTTATACTAACATTTTAAAATTGAAATGCAGAGCACAGAGAAAACTAGAATTAATGTGTGATTTAAATATTCTACATTTAGTTTTGTATTAAAAGTACTTTAATCCCTTGCTTACCGTAGGGTCATATACTTGGTATGTTCACTATTTCTTTTCCCAAGGAACTTATACGTATATTTTGATAAAGGTTTTTCGTGCTGAATCCATTGATATGTGGATTGTAGTGCCTTTCTTCAATAAAATATACAATAAATTAGTTAAGTTTTTGTTTGAATATTATTAAATCTGATGGAGTAGACATATATTACATGTATGTTTATAATGTAAAATGAAGTGTAACATAGAGTAGTGAACGTGTTATAGTATTAGATCAATGTGATACCTGATATAGGTTTTGTAAACTTTGTCATTCACTGCCTAGATATATCTTTAGTAAATGGAAACTGCTGATACTGTAGCATGATGCAGATTCTAACTCTTCTTATCAATGGAACAACAGTATTACATTTATCAACTGTGGTATATTGATGGTACAAATAATTCTAACATTTCATCATATCAATATAACTCCCCTTTTTTTTTTTATAATAGCACTTTGAAGGAAACTTTGGCTTCAATGGATGAGGGCCAGTTGATTCCATTCTGTGGAGGAGAACCAGCAAAATTTGCTCAATTTATAAACAGAGTAATGGGTGTTATGTGATAAGTGTAAAATGATACTTCAAAAAAAGTTGAGTTTTTAATAAAAGAAAAGTGAGAAACTGGTCCTTGACATTGTATCATTATTAATGTGTGTGAATTATGGTACATATAATGTTGAATAAAATATATGGTGCTCAAAGATGTCTGTATTTTCAGTAGAGTTATTTCTTCATTAAAACTTTCTTTAAATAATACATATTGAAATAATAAATAAATAATACAACAATAAAATTAATACACAATTAAAAACGTTTTTAAAATGTGGACTCTAGATGTTTCCTGATGATGACATGGTAAACATCGAAACATGTAAAGTCCATATTTTAGAAATGTTTTCAACTGTGTATCAATTTTAACATTGTGTGTTATTTATTTATTACCTATATATATCAAACTAAATGTCCAAGCATTAATGAATATAGCTAATTTAATATACTGTTTTAACTTGCTTATAAAAATTAGAATGCATTATTTGGGAATGCTAACCGTTAGTAATATTTAAGGTTATAATCTCAATAATATCTCATGAGGTTAGTTCAACTTGGGAGATTTAGTTTATTCCTAAATCCACATACTAAGCTAACAATGCAAAGTAACCTTTGTAATTTAATAAATTAAAAAGTATAAAAATTTATGTATTGATCATTCTGACAAATACTGCTAAAGAAAGAACAGAATGTAGCTTACTTACAGATCACATAAACACTTGGTTTGCTTTATGCACTATTGTATATTTCATGTTTCTTCAAGAATATCATTGTACACAGAACTTGATACAAAGTGCAGAATCTTGAAACGTTATACAGAGAATAATTTGAGCATGGCAACAAAGGAAAATGATTGACTCATGAAAATAAATAAAATTTTATCTTTATTCACGAACATTATAAGATTTAACCTATTGGCTAGTTTCTATTTTGTGTAATGATTTTTTTCTGGCTGCTAAATTGGAGAGATCTTTAATTGTCTATGACAGATAAAGAGGCCCGGCATGGCCAGGCGGTTAAGGCGCTCGACTCGCAATCTGTGGGTCACGGGTTCAAATCCCTTTCCCACTAAACATGCTCACCCTTTCAGTCATGGGGGCATTATAATATGACAGTCAATCTCACTATTCATTGATAAAAGAGTTGGCAGTGGCCTTCCCTCTAGTCTTTCACTGCTAAATTAGGGACTTGAAATTCATAATAAACAAACGGACAGATGAAGACAGGATCAAAACAAGAGTGTGGGTAAGATGGGGAGAGGTAGACTAATTTCAAATAAAGATATTCAAGAAAGAGAAGCTCTCAACTCTTACTTTTATAATTGTAGCTTCTGTATCTCCTGTTAAAGTGAGTATAATTTCACTCAAAGTGGCCAATACAGAAATAGAACCAAGCAGGTATGAGAATCTATGGAATTATTTTTAGCATGTGACCTTTATTTAAGGTAAGTAATTAGTGTAAATATATGAAGAAACATCAGATTTATAATATATTGCAACTACATGCTGAAAACTAGCAGAAAATGTTAAAGAAGTTCATCATAACATTCTCCTTGTTACGAAATAGTATTTAGGGTTAAATTATCACATAATTTTGAACGAATTTACCACTTTCCAATTAGAACTCTAGAAACTTGTTTCAAATGTTATATGATGTAAAATACATATCACAGGACAGTTATATATATCATATTTGCATGCAATATGTGTGTGTGTGGTATTTGTTTAGTCTTGTTTATTTCATTCCACCTGTAACAAATCACTACACCAGCTTCTTGTTGTCATGGTGATCACTTAGATAACTGTGTGCTTAATGCATACTGAACCTTCAAATAACACACTATGTGCTTAGTATATTAAAAGCTCAATTGAAAATAAAGTTATTCACGTCATGAACCACGATTGTGGTCCATAATAAAGATCACACAGGAATTTGCTCAAAACTCTTTGTAGAACATTAGAAAAAGCTACCTTAGAAAGCAGACTTATTCTTGAAACAACACTAAAAACCTTCCTTTTCAATTGTTAAGACCACCCAAAAATTGATAATAAGCAAAATAAGTGATTTCACGATTGTTATTGGCTGGTAATTCCTGTTCCACCCTCTACTTAAGCTGGAAAACCAGATGCCTATACAGTGTAAGAAAGCTAACTTCAAGGGGTAATATCGAATTTTCAATATCATTACGACCTAATGTAGTACCTTATTCAGTATTCCAGAAAAGGTTTGGGTGCAATATATCAAGCCGTTTTTGTTGTAGGCTGGCAAGAGAATAATAATTACAAACCTACCATTTTGAGCGGATTTTCTTGTTTGTCTAACATGCGTGCCTTTTTGTGCATTTTAATATGTTTACAGCCTTAGTAGTCAATAGTAAAGGTTTTAATGTGTTGTTGAAAGTGAATCTTTACTGTTTAAGGTGCTTTTTGCCCGACTGTTCTATTAAGTTTTATGCAATTCCTTTCGATCCCTATTGTGAACCACTGTGGTGGTTCATGATTATTGTTTCGTAAGCCTACAGCAAAATTAGCTAGGTA